TCTCTGGCTTGCATGCTGGCGTAGTAGCGCCTTGAGAGTACCTCATGGAGTTGGGGATGTTCGGCTGCTAGCAGGCTCTCTGGTTGTAGAAGATCGTGAATCAGTGCTGCCAGACTCGACTCCCACGTGTAGACGTGGGCCCATAATTGCCGATGCTCTGCAGCACTCAAGAGATGAGCATTAGTTAGAACCCCGACGAGGCGGGCGAATTCGCGGCTCCAGAACATCTGATTTCTATTGTCGTCTGCCATTGCGAGAATGTTAAAAGATATCGAAATAGGGTTTCAGGGTTAGCTATAGCCTCCTCCCGGTAGCTTGAATAGAGGGCAGGCTTTTATAGTAGTGGAGGTAAATTGGAGGGCTCCAAGAGCGCCGTGAATACAACCGACAAAGGGATGCATCGCGGATCGTGGTTTTATTACTTTTCGCATAAAGAGTCTTTGTTTTTACCGCGCCGTTGTTGACGGTTGGAACATCGAGAAGAAAGAGCCCGGTATGCGAGTGATTGTCCGGATTGTTCTATTAGTCTAAACATGTATATAAAGAACAAAGGTTGCGGACCTTAACGAAAACCCTACTATGAGATCAAACGGTACAAAAGGCGATTTGTCCAGTATAGTCTTGAGAAACCCTGACGGGACCATGACTCGCGCAACAGCCCAACGGTCAATTTGATAGATCACATGAAGGCAACATCTTGAGGATGTATGTGCTGCTTAGAGTTTAACTTTCACTCACCTAGGGTTTCTTTCAGCGTTAGGTTTTGTGCTCGTGGAGGGGCTGTTAGTAAAGTGTGATACCAATATTTTCCAGACTGGCAAAGTCATGTTCCGATATAGATTCTATAAGTCATGGAAGGAGGGTGTACTAAGACTGAGCATCCAATAAGGGCCTCCCAACCTGCAGGATGGGCCCAGCTGAGGCCTGGAGCACCTGCAGGCATTTGCCATGAGTCACGGCTGATCCGGCCTATCATCAACGCGGGCGGCCGTTCTCAACACGACTAGCAGGGAAGATGACGATATCCTTCGCCTGGACTCTTAAAGGAGGGGGAGAAAAGTACCGTTTCATGGTGGTGATGGTTGTGGTGGTGGTGGTGATCCTGCTGCTGCTGGTGGCGGCCATCCAAGACGACAGAGCGGAATTGATCATTTCCACCATCGCATGCAGCACGATCAGCATAACAAGAAAAGAACCCATGACGTGCAGCATTTGCTGGATACTTCTATACGTTTCTGTATGTAGGGAAGTGGATTGATCCACTCTACTTCAATGACAGTGGCGGGCAAGCAGAACATGTCTCCTTGAACAAGACGGACAGACGGCGGCAAAGGGGGGTTTGGCTGCAGAACCGGCGCATCCCTGCGGCCAATCAGGCTTGTGGGAACTAGAAGTTCATTGTTGGGCAACAGCGCTGAATGGCGGTTAGGCTGCAGCGATGTTCGTCCTGGACTGTGAAAGCCTGGGCCTGAACACAGCAGCAAACCCGCTAGCCGGTCGGCCACATGCAGGTAGAGTGCACCATGACGGCGGCCTTGCTTTTCCTTTTTTCTTCATCTTCCATCTGATTGTCTTGCTCAACCGTCATCGCCCATCCAACATCAGATCAGACTTTTTACTGCCGCCTGGTTACTCCGGGCTGTAGTTGCTCGTCGCCCTGGGGGGATGTTGGGTTTTCTTACTTGCTGCTGCATCGCCCCATTCCATTGCGGCTGAGGAAGGCTGCCTGCGATACGAAGCCCGGGCAAACACGCGGCCAGAGAAGCAGTCGCGAGCCCGCGACTCAGTAACGACTATCATTCATTCAGAAGAGGGGGGTGGATATAAAAAGACGCAGGTCAAAGGGGCGAATGACAATGCGCCAAAATGGCCAGGGCAGTTCTCCTTGCCCATGCCCGGGCGATGTCGCGCCCTGCTAATTCCGTCTTGCGCAGCGACGGAGGGACCTGCGCGCTTTTCCCCTGGTCCTTTCATTTGGACGGCGCATCGTGATTGAACGATTGCCATGGTCACAAGCAAAGACTCCAGTAGCTCCGCGACCATGATATCCCGAATCTTTTGGGGTTGGATGGTTGCTTCTGCTGGGCATGCAGCTTTCCAAACCTAATGGCAAGGCAGAAAGCACCAGGGATCTTCATCTCCTGAAACAATCTTACACCATGATTATTGCCGGTAGTCCGTCGTCATTAAAAGAGGCCAGTTGACCCCTCCATGACCTCTCTGGCGCGTTCGGAGATATAAGGAGGTTATATTTGCTCGTTCTTTGCTCTTGACCCCGCTTCTCCCATTTCCGTTTTTCCCGAATCCCATCCCATTCCCTGGGGTTTGCTGCGTCTGCTCGGCTCCTTATCTTCTTCCTTCTTGCTCACCTTGACAGCTCCCTCCTTTCTGCCTGAGAATTGACATACTTACGGGTCCCCGTGGCCGCATCCTCTCGGTCCCCAACAGGAGCGGAGTCGTACAGTATGGCGGTCATCAACCAGAACAACAACAAACAGGTGCCTCCTGCGCCTCCGACTCATCATCCACCTATGCGCCCGAATGAGGGTGTCCCTGTGGCGCAAGCGGGCTCAGCACGTCCCATGAACCCGGAGTACTTGGTTCCTCAGATGAATCGGCTCAATGTTCATGCGGAGAAACCCCCGGCTGTCAACAACCCAAAGCCCAAGGAGACCACCACGGTCGTTGAGGAGATTGATGCTCGTGCCCCCTTCTACTACCTGGGGTACACCTTCTTCAAGGCCGATGCCGTGCCCGGGCACAAGTCCACCTGGAACCATGTGGAGCGGACCAAGATGAACCTCAGCCAGTCTGATCTGATGAAGCTGGTACACAAGCGAACCAAGAAGACCCCCATCGCGGAGCAATACCAGTCCCTGTCCAAGGTCAAACGTGCGCATGTGGACCAGCTGATCAGCGAACTTAGGAAGAGTGACCCCCACTTTGAATGGACCTGCGTCTATGTCAAGGAGGACGAGAAGCCATTCAAGGGTAAGAACTCCCGGCGGGGTGACTATGAGACGCTCTCCGTGAGCGTCGTCATCATGAGAAAGGCTACAGATCTGGTGTTTCCCAAGATACCTGTCGACGACCATGTGGATGTGGAGGCCCTTCCTAAACCACAGGACCGTGTGCCAACTCACGTGCACAATAATCCATCCGAATCGGGACCAAAGGGGATGTCTAGGGGCATGCAGCCTAGTGAGCCACTGGTTGGGCCTACTATCCATCAGGGGACAATGCCACCGGCCATGAATCATAACCAGCAGCCTCTGCCTACAAGGTTTTATCAGCCTCCTTTTCATCAGTCTCCACCCCATCAGCCACCTCCCCAGCAGCCGCCTCCTCAACTTCCTCAGGGATATGCGGGGCCACGGCCACATATGGCCCAGGGGCCCTGGCCGTGGGTGCACGGGATGCCAGCTGGTATGCACCCACACCGCGCTCAGCCAGGCATGCCTGTCTCTACGATGCCTGCGTCTGCTATGCCCAGTTCTGCAGTGCCTGCTCCTGTCATGCCTGGTGCTGCCATGTCTGGCCAAGCCAATGTTCCGCACATGATGGCTCAGCCGAACGGCCTGCGAGGCGTCCACATGGCAGCTGGAATGTTCCACCAAAGGCAGGGATTCGACCCCCGCGCCCATTTTTCCGGCCAACAAGAGGCCCATCCTTCTGACAAAGGACCCGCCCCTGCCCATGCCCCTGCTCCTACCACTACCCCCCCTCCCCCGGAGACTAAGCCCGAGAACGTCAGGCCCTCGACGCCGGCGGCAGATCCCGAGCTAGAACTGGGACTAGAGTCGAGTAGTGTGGGGGACGATGAATCCGTGTTCGACTTTGACGACGACAGCTCCATCACCGATAGCTCTGATGAAGAGCCAGAACTGGAGGATAAACCCCAGCCGTGGCGCGGCAGTTTATATCGTCGACACTCCGCCACCCGAGCGAAGCATGCATACCGCACCCATTATCGGAAGCAGCCCCAGAAAAACGAGTCGGACAGCAAGACGAGCCGGTCAGGGTATCCCAATGGCTGCATTGACGTGGTGCCTGCAGACAGTAAACATGTCGACCCACGCAGCGAAGGTGCCGCTAGTGGTGGTGGTAGTGGCAGTGGTCCCAGTCAAGAAGTGAGCCGGCCAGCGCGGGACCGGCCCAAGATCATCCATGCGTCAGTGAGTGCAGACGAGTTGGATTTGGAGCAACTTTTGGCCGAGAGGGCAGAGCGGTTCCGAGGGGGGCGGGCCCGGAACGATATTCGGGCGCGAATACTAGATGACCGCGAGGCCCGATTGGAGCATCGCGAGCGGATGGTGGAATACCGGGCCCGCGTGCTGGAGGAACGGGAACGCTTGGATGATGCATGTTACCTCGGACGACGCATGTCCCTGCGCGAACCGGGCACCTTCTATGGCCCTCGACGATATTACCTCCCGGAGGGGCTTCAATGATGGTGCAGGGTCCTTGGTGGGATTAGTTACAAGGACTAGTCGAATTGGGGAGTAAAGAGGGGGGAGCAATGGAAGGGGAATCGCTTCATTGTTTTTCCCTGGGAAAGTCAGTTTACCAGTGGATTTTCGGGTATTTGCATTTTGGGATCGGGTGAAGGAGGGATCCAAGTGGGTATCTAATAACGTCATGGGGGGGAAGACAAAAGTTCCATCGGAAGCTGCAGTTCAACCGCGCACACACACAGACGCACCCTGAAGATTATCATTTCTCATCCTTGTGCAATAGCAATGTTATATTATAGGGGGATTATCACGCGCCGAGTTACCCATTCCCGAAGCAGACACCGAGTAGTTTTTTGTAGAGCTTGGTAGTAAAGAGATGAGACACAGAGAGAGAGAGAGGAAGAGAAACAGTTGCCAGCTCAGCGAGTGACTTATCGATAAGCCCCGCCCGTGTAGCAGTTTAACTAGTAGTAGTGACCAGTTACTAGTAGTAGTAGTAACTAGCAGTGCTGGCAGCTGCTCTGCCCCTCTCTCGGTTCCCCCCCCCATCGTCATTCATCCTTCCGGTTCTTCTTCTTCCCTCTTTCCTCTTCTTCTCTCTCTCTTCTCTTCTTTTTCTTCTTCTTTCTCTGTACTTTTCTCGTTTACTCACTTCCTTCCACAATTTCCTTCTTCAAACACTCTCCCCGTCTTTTTCAATCACACCAACACATCTTCAAAATGCCTCGTCAATTTTTCGTGGGTGGTAACTTCAAGATGTATGGAAACCCCTCCATCCGCTGCCCCGCCAGCTCTTCACCACCAAATATCGCTTCACCCTCAACGAGCCCGCTGGCTAACGAATGACTTCTGCGTTACTCTCACACAGGAACGGTACTGCGGACAGCATTACCTCCATCATCAAGAACCTCAATGCCGCCAAGCTGGACGAGTCCGCCGAGGTGGTTGTCTCTCCCCCCACCCTCTACCTGCTCCCCGCCCGCCAGGCCGCCGGCGAGAAGATCGGCGTCGCCGCTCAGAACGTCTTCGACAAGCCCAACGGTGCTTTCACCGGTGAGATCAGTGTCGAGCAGCTTCGTGATGTCAAGATCGACTGGACCATCATTGGTCACAGCGAGCGCCGTGTTATCCTGAAGGAGAGCGACGAGGTAGGTCTACCCCGCCAAGTATTATTTAGTTGGATTGGGCTAATATTAACCCCCATCTAGTTCATTGCCCGCAAGGTCAAGGCCGCCATTGACGGTGGCCTCAGCGTTATCTTCTGCATTGGCGAGACTCTCGAGGTATGTGGGCCTGTTACTTTTCCTGATTTTGCTTTTTTAACCTCGCGACTACCCCTCTTCGAGCTCGCGGTGACCCGGTGAGATGAACCGAGACTAATGCAACCCCCCAGGAGCGTGAGGCCAACAAGACCATCGACGTTGTCACCAAGCAGCTCAACGCTGTTGCCAAGGAGCTCACCAAGGAGCAGTGGGCTAAGGTTGTTGTCGCCTACGAGCCCGTCTGGTAAGTTCTCTTGCAATTCGTCTGGCCTGCTGGTCGCACACTAACCCCAATTCAGGGCTATCGGTACCGGCAAGGTCGCCACGACCGCCCAGGCCCAGGAGGTCCACGCCGCTATCCGCAAGTGGCTCGTTGATGCCATCTCCCCCGAGGCTGCCGACAACACCCGCATCATCTACGGTGGTTCCGTCAGCGAGAAGAACTGCCGTGACCTGGCCAAGGAGGCCGATGTCGACGGTTTCCTGGTTGGCGGTGCCAGCTTGAAGCCTGCCTGTATGTGTACCCTTCCATGTGGTTGATGCAGCTTACTGATTATTCTGTTATAGTCGTTGACATCATCAACGCTCGTCTGTAAACAATTGAATGATTGATGGACATGTGATATGATATCCAAATCCCAATAGGCGGGGAAGTCAGCCTGGGAACTCTGCAGACACCATGACCAATTGCAGAGCATGAAAATCTATAAAGAATATAAAAAATCGAATCTATACCAAATAAATCCAAATTGAATACCACCATTAACCTTACCTTCCCCATGCACCCTCTGTAACTATAACTCTAGACAAATATTAATTACCTAGTAAGTTGCAGTATAATCATAGCACATATCATAGTATCTACACCCTTCCCCCCCCCCACGGCCCATATAACCCGTCATATAGATCAATAATATACACAAGGATCACGACGAATACGACACCGAAACCCCCACCCCCCTCCAATACGACTTCCTCAAACCCCCAGACTCCCCACCGCCCCCATCAGAAGCATACGACGAGGAAAACGAACTCGGTCCCAACCCCACCCCAGCACTAACCAACAACTCCTTGACCCGTCCCTCCCACAACAACCGCACATTCCACGATTGATCCACCCGAATCTTCAACACGGATTCGTTCTCCTCCTCCTCTACTTTCCCCTTTCCCAATCCATGGCCCACTAGATCCTTAAGATCGTCAGGAGGTGTAGCTGTAGATGGGTGCGGATGAGGAAACAAGCTCTCGCGAATCTTCCGTCTTGCCCACTCCACCCCATCACCATCATCACGATAGCGGGGTTTACTCTTCCGCCAGAGTTCACACCCCGCTACCATCTCGCTTTCCCAGCTGTAGACATTGAACCCGAAGCGGGAGCTAAATGCCAGATTTGGAGACGCGCGGAGTGAGTACGTCGTTGATAGTGAGCCCGTTAACGGGGTCAGGGTGAGAGTGAGAGTATAAGGGAATGTCGAAATCGGAGTGTTGGCATTAGCACCTCCAGAGCCAGTTGAAGGGGCTGACGAAGAAGAAGGAACATCCGTAGCAGCAGGCAACGTGCTAAACCTCAGCCCGGTGGACATGCCAATCAGCGACGAAACAGGCGAATAGTAAGCCTCCGCGCCCGCAGAGAGTAACGACAGCCGCGGCGAGGACCCCGATGGGACAGGATCCCTAGGATCGGGCCCGAAGTTCCATAGCCCCCGCCAGCCGAAGAGGGCATTATCCGTACTGAAGAGGTACTCGTTGTTGTATTTCCCCGTGTTATGGGAGAGTTGCGCGAGGAGGGAGGCCTGCGGGGCGGATTTGGAGAGCGGCGGACCTCGCGTTGAGCACACTGCTAGGGACAATTGCATGGTTGGGGAGAGACGACGCAGGAAGAGGGCATTGAGGGTTGTCGGGGGTGGGAGGTGGAGGGTTGCGTGGAAGAGGGTGGCTTTTTTGCCGATGGAGTTGTATGCGGAGGGGGAGGCATCGTTGAGGTTGTCGTTGTTGTCGTCGTTGATGAGGATGGTTTCGGCGATTGGGGCAATGGGTGCTTGTACTTGGCGGTAGCCTGGGGAGAGCTTGCGAAGGGGGATTAGGGCACTTCTGCTGGAGAAGCTGTCGAGAGGAACGGTGCTGAAGAGGTAGGAGACGGAGCCGTCGATGAGGCCGACGGTGCCGAGGGTGTAACTTGTTGCGAAGTGCGGAGTGGAGAGGGAGGAGAGATGGACGCGGAGGCGCTCGGGGGTGGAGAAGTCGAGGAGGGCTGGACTTGTTGTTAGTGGTGTTTGGATGGAGGTTGAGAGGGAAAAGGGCTGGTATGCATACACTGCGCAGTGGCTGTCAGCGACGAGTACGAGTTGTCGCGGTTCCAATTCGTCGCCTCGGCGAAGGCGAGTTGGATGTAATCCATGAAATCGAGCATTGTCGGGGATAGTGCGGGAGCAATGGGACAAATCAAGCAGCCTCAGTAGTGAGACCCATCCAGCATGATATAGCCCACCATTGGCGGCCTGGGCATGCAGTAGAGTATCCCGATGGAGTGAGAGTGAGTAGATGAAGCGGATTGAAGATGAAGCCCGCAATCAGCTCATTTCCCGAAGCAGACTAGGGCAGATGGGGGCACGGATAAGCCGCGCGACAACAATAATCCGGGCGTTATCGACAGCCGCAAAGAAAAAAAATCATTGGATCTCGAATCCACAATTTCCCGCGCCGGCTCTTTGCAATTATCACCATTTCAACCTACTCGATTTCTTCCGGTGCTTCCTTCATTCTCCCATATTTCTAGTGTCTAGTACTTTTTCTCACCTCGATCAATCACCATGCCTCGTTCCAAGCGGGCCCGCGTCGTGCACGAGTCCAAGACCGTCAAAAAGTCCCACAAGGAACAAACCCGTCGCCTGTACGCCAACATCCGGGAATGCATTGAGAAATACGACCACCTGTTCGTCTTCGGCGTCGACAACATGCGCAACACCTATCTGAAGGATGTCCGTACCGAGTTCGCCGATAGCCGGTTAGTAGTTCTTCCCCTGCATTCCCCCGCCTATCCCCAAGATGCCCCTCCCCTCCATCATTAACCATGCAAAGTGAACTAAACTAACCACCTGAACACAGTCTCTTCTTCGGCAAAACCAAAGTCATGGCCGTCGCTCTGGGCCACAACCCCGAGAACGAAGCCGCGCCCAACCTCCACAAACTCAGCCCCTACCTCACCGGCGCCGTCGGCCTTCTTTTCACCTCCCGCGACCCCCAATCCGTGACCGACTACTTCGACAACTTCCGGCCGCTTGACTTCGCTCGCTCCGGAACCGTCAGTACCCGGGCGTTCTCGATCCCCAACGGTCAGGTGTATTCGCGTGCTGGAGAGATCCCCGCCTCCGAGGACGAGCCGCTCAGCCACACTATTGAGCCGGAGTTGCGGAAACTTGGTGTCCCGACTCGGTTGGTCAAGGGCAAGGTTATGTTGGAGTTGACGGAGGGTCAGGAGGGATTCCCCATTTGCAGGGAGGGAGAGGTGCTCGATTCGAGGCAGACGACGTTGTTGAAGATGTTTGGAGTTGTTATGGCTGAGTTCCATGTTGCTTTGAAGGCTCATTGGACGAGGGAGTCTGGGGAGGTGGAGATTCTGGAGAAGGATGAGGCTGGTATGGAGGTTGAGTAAGTTTGTTTAGGTCGGTTGATGATCCTTTGAGAAAAAGTTTCGATTCGGTTTCTTTTTTTAGAGTCGGGGTCCTGCTGGTGGTGGTGGCGGTGGTGTTGCCTTAGTGTTGGGTCATGGTAGGTTTTTCCTTCCTATCTGTGAAGGAAAATCTATCTATCTATATGTGGAGTTGTAAAAAGTCCAGCCGGCCTGACACGATGAACAACTCCCACCACCACCACTCCCACGCCCCTTTGATGATGAGATCCCCTGGGCATCTTTGGAGTTGGGTTTAGGCGTTTTCTTTCAATGATTGATTGTCGATTTTTCGACTCGTGTGTGTGTTTCGTGTCTGATTCGGTATATACTATTCTGCTTCAGTTGATGAGCGTATGACGGACATACCGATATGAAATAAACCAATCCGAACAGTTCAGTTATAGAATAACATCTCTCTCAAGTTCACCTAGGCTGAGGACTACGATTACTGCTACTAGTATACTTAGTACTTAGTACCTGACGTCCTGACGATGGCAACTAATGCCACGGATGATGAAATATTTACATGACGATGAGATAGGGCATATGTCACACACCCTGGATAATAGTATATCATTTACCTTCATTTACTTACTGCATTGCATGTTGGCAATCAATCGGCCATGACTGACACATAAGTTTTTCTTTTTGACACAAAAACAACCCTACCTGATCATCTTTCTTACCTGAAACGAAACCCAGATCCCAAACCGTAAAAAGCTCCGCCTGTGAAGACAAAGTGTTGACTATCTAAAGTACATACTTACCCCTTGAAGAGAAGTAGCGGCCGCACACGGGCCCAAGGGAAATAAACCGACATGAGTGAAAAAAAGAGGACACAAGTAGTAACAAAGACAAGAGAGAAAAAGAGAGCATGAGCATGACAGACAGGGAAAGAGGTGTCCGTTAACAGCGCGTATCTGTGTCTGCTGCAACGGGTGGGAAATCGACCTTCGAGGGGAAATTTGCGCCTGCCTGCTCCAAATGGAAGATGGATATCTCGTAACGTAACCAGGATTACGAAGGAAAGATGATGCATACGGAGCACTTCAACTGTTGTGAGTTATACGATGGTTGAAGTCCGATATAGCACGGAGCTTGAGCCTTGTTTGACCTTGCCTTACCCATTGCTGCACCGGGGTATAACAAGAGAAGGACCAAATTAATGATACCCACCAGCAAACCGTCACTGAACACTGGAATGGGGATATCCTTCGCGGACAGACGTTCAGTATCTTCTTTTGGCACGGGGGTCATCATACGAATCATCTTCATGGTATCGCTTCCGCCCGTAGTCGTCGCCCCGGCCTCCGTACCTGTCACCACGATCGCGGTCGCGTTCACGGTCCCGGTCACGGTAGCGATAGCTATCCCTGTCACGGTCCCGGTGACGGTCACCGTCGCGGTCCCGATCCCGGTCTCGACGATCGCGGTCGCCAAACCCGTCCCGGGGCCTGATGGGTTCTCTGTTGCTGCCAGTAGCGCCGCGGGGTTCACGCTCAAATCTGCCGCCGCCAGGGGGACCACCACCGAATCCACCGCTGCGTCCGCCTCCCGGACCTGAAGGGGCGTTGGGGGGAGCCTGTCCACCTCCACCGAATCCGTTGCGACCACCTTGGTATCCGACACCTCCACGGGGCCCACCAAATCCACGATCACCGCGGAATCCTCCCTTGAAGCCACCTCTGCCGCCGAACCCACCACGGAATCCACCACCATAGCCACCAGGACCAGAGGGGGCGTTGAAAGAGCCAGGGCCGATAGGTCGAGAGGGCAAGGCCTTGGTGTAACCACGACCTCCGAGACCACCACCAAAGCGACGAGGCTTCCATCCCTTGACTGTACGACCGCGCTCGACGTCAACCAAGACACGGCGGTCCTTAATGCGGATACCATCCGTTTCCTTGTAGGCAGCTGAAATCGTGACAAAAAGAAAACTAGGTTAGCATCAAGAACGTACGGGGATTCGATACCAGTCTGAATCCAGAGTGACAGGCGACTAGATCTGTAGCAATACCTTTCATATCCTTTTCGCGCTCATAGACAATAAAAGCATATCCTCTGTGTGGTTTCTTCGAGCCCTTTGGCGTTACGGTGTCTTTCACGATGCGAATCTGAGAGCAACGTTAGTCATGTGTGTAACCCATCAAGCCCGCTCGGCCTGTGACTGTACCCGTTCAATAGGACCGAAACGGCCAAACTCCCGTTCCAGGTCCGATTCCTTAACATCGTAGCTCAGTCGAGCGACAAACAGCGTCTTGAATGGATCGCCTCGTGCTTGTTGGTCGTTGGATGGTTCATCTGCAACAAACCATCAGTATTAGCATAGAAAAATCCCAGAACAGATGCGATGATCATACAAGTCTCGAGGCCTTCCGTCAATTGCTTGTTAATGTTCTCTTTCTTCTCCACCTTCTGGCGCAATTTGCGCTGGATCCAGCTTTCCGTAGGCGTATATGGGATCTCTTCCTCGTACTTCTTCACCTCAGGCAGAAACTGCGCAATGCCACCAATGCTACTCTTCTTGCAGTCTTCTGGGGCACGGTTGATGGGAGTGACATAACGCAGAGGCGGGCGAGGTTGGAAGAGCGCCAAAAGCGGAGGGGGGAGCTTGTCCGTCATGTTGTGCCCTCAGCCAGTGCTCTGAATAAACGTGAAAAAAAATTAATTCAAAGCCTTCAGAGGCATCGAGGATGAAAGGACGAGATGGGGGAGAGGAGATATGGCGGTCTTTTGTCACTTGGTCCTAGTAGCAGCGTTGGGGGGAGTTTCGCGTTCCTCCCGTCAGGTGCTTGTCTGCTTCTGGAACCGCTAGTCGCGGTAGCCGAGATTGCCGCTGCACCCAATGACGGCTCTGTATTGGAGGCGGCCCTGAAAAGTCCCCGAAGGTGTCCCTCGAGATTGTTGGAAAGCTGTTGACGCCTTCGCTGTGAACATACAAATCCCAGATAGCCGCAATGCCTCTTCAAGGGATCCGGACGGTTACGGCCGCTAGAGTATGTGTTTCTTTGGGATCTTCTCCGCCCGTTTTTTCCAGAACTAACTTCATCATCCAGAACGGTGTCGGTGCCTTTATCCTACAATGCAAGCGGTTGGATTTCCACTACTGTGACTGGGCTGGTAGCTCCCGGGGCATGGTGTATGTTCTTCTTTCTCTTTAGTGATCAGCTTTGTTCCGAAAATACTGATGCTTGTTTGTGATAGTGCCTACCTCAAGCACCACCTTCCTGCCTTCGCGAAAGCAAACCCTCAGATCGAAATCCGGGTATCGCCGCGGCCACACAAGCACCCCATAATCAAGGGACACTACATCAACGGACGGGAGAAGGCGGTTTGCGTGCGGAATCTCGAGCCTGAGCAAATAGGCAAGAAGGCCGATTTGTTGAAGCAAGCCAGCGGAGAGAAGTTGAAGCGCACCAAGAAGCCCGTCACGAGTATCAACGAGAGTGTCAGAGGCATCTGGTCCCCGTACCACGGTGGCTACAAGTCGGTGTAAAGATGGGGGATTGTGCGATCATACGGTGGTGTTCTTTTTCTGGGTCAAATATCATTTCCTATTCGATGTATTATGGGTTACTTCATCTGTTTTGTGTACCTGCCTTTTGCGAACCCGACTCTGTCTTTGTTTGAACGATATGTATCATATGTACAGAATGTCTTTATTTGATATCCCATGGAAATGGGTGCCCGCTCCCCGTATGCAGCATCGTGATTATCAGGAAAGTAAAGTGTCATTATCCACATGGATGGCCCCGACCGGACCACCACCTATACCCAAAACGCTCTCTATGCCATAGAGGTAAACACAAACATAATCCCGCCCAACCGAAACAAATGCAATGAGGGTATCAAAAAGTTGCTCGTAAATGCCAAGGTAAAAGTTCAGAAAGGAAGCCCCGCCCATGCGCCACCATCATCACATGCTAGTATTGTGCAAACGCCAGAGATGGTATGCAGCATCATTATAGATAAATCTGGAACATTGACTTGGGCGAACTAACGGGCTTCCCGCAACCGAATACCTGGCATTTAGAGAAAGGCTTGGCTTTAGAAGCGTTCTTTTTCGCCTTCGACAACGATCGATTCGAGGCACAGTCGCCACAATATACCTATGGTCAAGGTTAGAAGATGATAACGAACGTCGTTAACCCGGGAATCACGTACATGTCCACATTGCTTGACCACCCATATCTGCTGTTTGGTTTCGTCACCAGTGCCCAGTTCCATATCACAATTCGGGCATACAACCACATCGTCCTCTGCGACATTTCGGGTGAACCCCTCCGGTGGCGGACTTGGAGGTTTGTAGGCGTTTGCAGGCGTCCTTTGTCGTGTCAAGCCCGTTAGTTGATAGTCTAATCCTAACGGGCCATCCACATCCAAGTTGATCGTTAGATCTATGGCGCCCGCCGGGCCATCTCCAATCCAGAATGACTCCACATCACTTATTGGAGGATGTCTCCGAAATCCTCGAAACGCTAGGTCCGGTCTGCCATGGTCTCCAACCCGTACAGGTGGTCTCGGGGATCGAAACTGTAGCATCTGCTGCCACAAGCTGGGCATGTAGAAACCTTCATTGCTGCGCGGCGGAGGCGGAGGTGGTGGTTGTGGCGGCGGCGGCAACTGTGGCCGCCTCACGGTGGCTCCGATGAACTCGACTTCGGGGCTGCTGGGGGGTTGTTGCTGGTCATTATCGTCCACCTCTTCCTCTAAATCAACCACTTCCGTGAGGATGTCCCTGGGAAATCGGGGAGGACGCGGCCGAGAAGCTTCGTTCGTCGTACGGGACTCTTGCAAGGACGAATTTTGATAGGGTGTATCGGGCTCATCGGTCAGGTCTATCACATCTTCAGACGGCTGGGTTGTGGCCGGTCGGCGGAGGTCGAGGCCGTCCCCGGGGTAGCGCCGAAGCGGTGGCAACGAAGGCCCCGGTGTTGCGGAAAGGGATGATGAAGATGGTTCTCCGGATGGACGTCCTGAAGAAACTTCGGATGTCTCGCGGTGAGTTCTCTGGAAGGTGGAGTCGGGCGTCAGTTGAACCTCCAATCCCTTGATCTAGCACGGGGATACCCCGCCTCCATGAGGAGATTCGAGGGCAGACGGGGAGATTTGATACGAACCTTTCTGGGGCGAGAGCCCACAAACAAGACACCTGAATCGTCACTCATCCCGGAAACCAATCCGCAGGGGAAGACGACGGTGTTGGAGGGGAAGAGAAGGTGGGAGAGGGAAGAAGGGCGAGGGGAGGGCGGTTTGATGGCAAGAAGAAGGTGAGGTAGTAGTGAGTTATTAACAGCCGGTGTTAGGCCTCACTTGCGGTTGGTGGAACGCCATGCTTAGTCGTGTTAACGAAGTGGTCTGGGTCCGAGTGCCCTGCGGTCAGGAGTGGCATGTCTCCGGTTCAACTTGCTTTTTGCCTCACTGAACACCGTGAGAGTTTGTCCAGCATGCCACTCTTCAGTGAATGGACGGACCCTCTGGAAGTACTACTGGGTACTAGTAAGAGTTCTGGCACTCGCAGTTCCAGGGTAGTAATCCGTGGAAATTCAGAGCCAGGCGGAGTGGTTCAGTTGCGGAGGGGAGACAAATATATTATAGTCTTATAATTTAGTAGTATGAGGGTTCCCGCCGACTCGCCCAGCACCCCCGATCACTGCGTGAATGACTTGTCACCATCCATCACCAATTGTCACAGCAGTAGGTAGTAGGTCTGCTGACAACTCAGATTCTGGTGGTTTCTATGCTCATGATAATCCCATTATAATCCGGGTTCGTTATTGTTGCCAGGTGGCTTCTCCTTCCTTTATTCTTTGGGTTTGGTCTGAGAGGGAAAAAAAAAACAAGACGCCGGTGACAAAAAAGAAACAACAACAAAAAAGAAGAAAGAAAAAGAAAGAAAAGTAGCACCGACAGCTAGAAATACAGAACAACAAATGGAATTTTCACTCCGTATCCATAAGTAGGTATCATAATTACTGTGCCGTCAGCTCCGTCACGCCTCCCTCGCTGTTCAACGCCACGATAGTCTGGGCGGCAGAGCCCCAAGCCGCCGCAACCGCGGGCACCGCGCTCCGCAAGGGCTCGGACCACGACTTGGAGGACTTGGTGTATTGGTGCACCGTCAAGCCACTAGGTCCGGCGGTCAGAAGGAACTGTCCAGTGTAATCCCAGTTAATCGAGTCAACCTGACTGCCCGTCTCCAGAACCTTGCTCTCCTGTGCGCTACGGAGATCCCAGATGGATACAGTGGTCGAGTTCTCGGTAACCGCGGCCAGGAAAACACCGTTCTCGGAGAAGAACAGGGATTTCACAGGGCTAGACATGGCGAAAGTGGCAGCGGACGCGCCAGTCTTGATATCGAAGATCTTGATTTGCCCGTCCACGCCACCAGCAGCAACCAGGTGGCCGTCAGGGTGAATCTTGACCGAGAGAAGAGCTGAAGAAGAATGAAATGTCAGTCATGTCCGGACATACAAGTTATCATCGGGCTACTCACAAGCGTCACTGAAAATCTGAGTGATTACCGAGTTCGTCGTGAGGTCATACAGAACATAGCTCTTGTCAGCGCCAACCGAGGCAACAATGTCACCGGTAGCATGCACGGCAAGCGCGGTTGCGGCTCCAGCATGAGAGTTGAAGTTGGCGACCTCGTTGCCGTTCTCGAAGACCTTCACAGAGCCCGTAGACGATGCCACAATAGCCTTCTCGCCTGCCCAAACGGCATCGGTAACTGGCCCGTTTGCCTGCAGGTTCTGAACAACCTGCTTCTGGGGAATGGAATAGATGCCAACGGCACCGTCCGCGCCGCCGATGAGTGCCAGCTCTCCCGACGAGTCAACGGCGAATGCCTTGCTGCCGGGGTAAAGAGGGTTGGAGCTCTCCGTAGGCTTGTATGTGGAGATGGCTTCAGCCGTAGCCCAGCCTTCCGGAACCGGGCGCTTACGACGTGTCTTGGACAGCCTGTAGTTTGTTAGATATACCGAACACAGTAGAATCCTATACATAGCAACTTACGATGCCTGTGTGCTCTCAACACGTGCCAGAACGGCCTCGGGCAGACCGGTCGAATCAACCTGCATAGCTTCACCACCGGAGGCAGCGGCACTCCTGGCACCGACGGTGACCTTGGAAAGGGCATCACGGGCCTCGTCTCTCTCCTTTGTCAACCGAGCAATCACGCGAACGGCGGCATCGTGCTGGTAGAGCGCAGAGCTCAGTTCCTGGCGAGTCTGTGCCAAGGTCTGTCGCAATGTGTAGGTTTCAAGAGCCAAGGCATCCCATTCTTCTTGGAAAACACTGAGCAACGAAGGAATGGATGTGAGGGTGGGAGGTCTGGGGCGGACGACGCGCTGGGATTTGACGTCAATGAGGTCGTCTGTGGAGAGCTCCTCTCCATTCACGGGATCCTTTCCATTCTCCGCGATGTAGGCTTCGATCAGTCGCTTTTCAAAGACGCTGCCTAGTCGAGCATTAGCTGCATTACGTCGCATCAATGCTTTCGAGGTTGGACATACCGCTCTTGGGCGAGACGACAGGCACTTGCGGTGCCTCTCCCGAAACTGTTGCACATCAATCATCAGTAATTGGACCTGCAAGAGCAACTCATTGCATGACTTACTTGCGCAAAGCATGGTATATGATGTATGTTGGTTGATGGAGGACGAGGTTGGTTCGACGCGAAGCTTGCGGCTCCTCTGGACTTTTCGACCTCGCCCGATGCGGATTAGCGCACCGCAGCCCACTGATTCCTTGGCGGGCCAGCCAACTTCTTTTGTCGGAGTATACCAAGTCGCCTTTTATTTCTATTCCATGCTCATATCTAATTGGTGCTTGTGTCTGTAGCTTGCGAGCGAGGCATCTATATTGTGTTACTGCGCTACAGTTGATGAGATATATCTTCATACGAATGCATTGTGCATGGTGTCCTACTAAGGAGTGTCACGTCATACTGCCCACATTCGCTCGCTATTGAGCTGCTGTAATATCAGTCCTACTATTTTCTTGACTATTATAGAATAGAGATAGGCTGACAGTGACTCTGCGGCTGACATAGCCATGTCATTCAAATCAAAGGACCTCGCATATGGTACGTTGTCTGTCTCCACTCCCTGTTGGCATTGACCTAACCATCTTTTAGAGGCGAAGCAGCCCGCCTTCTTACAGAGACTGAAGAACCAATACGGAGATACCTCTGGTCGCCTCGAAAGACCCATTGCACGGCCGCGGAAACCGAGGGAAGACAATGACGACGATGGCCCTACCTACGTTGATGAAGAGAGCAACGAGATCATCTCCAAGGAGGAATATGAAGCCTTAGTACGTGGGGAGGATAACAAGGATACCGAGAACTCCAATAAAGATACACAAGAGCCTGCGACGGGCGAAGAAGGTAAAGCGAATACTCAGGCCGAGGCACCTGTCTCCAAACAGAACGTGGCCGAAATAGGAGGCCCACGGAAAAGGAAACAGGCCAAAGTAGTGGGAGAAGACACTCCTAGCGAAGAGACCGAGAAGGTACAGAAGAAAGATCCAGGCACTCGGAAACCAAAGCAAAAGAAGAAGATCAAGCTATCCTTCGATGAAGATGACTCATAATGACAGGATTTTGAGTCACTATATACTGCAATAATGATACCCTATCATGGCCGAACAAGAGATTTTGTATCGCTTGTTCAGCTTCTTTTTTTTCTCCAAATTTTGGTAGATACATACTTAGTTAGGATGATACCATAGAATGATGACGATGATTGAACAGAGAGAGTATACTCGGGTCCGCTGTAGTCATAGTAAAATCGCAGCAAATTAATAATCAAGGGCTTGAACCTTTAAAGACCATGTAAAAGAATCTTCACATATAGTATATTAACCACATCTCCTACTGTCCAGGTCTGGCGTGAATTCCACTCTTTGAATCCGAGGAATAAGGCAAGCCCTTCAAGCTCGACATTTCCCGCGACGAGTTTTTCTACCAGATTCCGCAGTTCGCGGCACGGAAACCCAACGGAAGAGCAACTTTCCGGCCTGGATTTCACCTTGGACCCTGGGAGCTGTTTGGCAGCACCAGCAACATCCCAAAATGCCTGTTGTTAACGTGGATGATCTCGTCCGTCTGCAACGGAGGCCCGATGACATCCGCAATGCAAGTTACCCCTCCATCCCACTTCCATCATCATCATCATCATCTTTGCTCCGTCCGCCATCACTAACAGCCATCCCAGATCTGCATCCTCGCCCACGTCGTATGTACTTTCGGCTTGTCCAAGTCTATCAGACTACATCCGTCTATGGATTTCTCTCTACTCACACCTATTTAGGATCACGGTAAAACATCCTTGACAGATAGTCTGATCGCCACCAATGGCATCATCTCACCAAAGCTGGCGGGCAAGATCCGCTATCTGGATTCCCGTCCAGATGAGCAGCTCCGTGGAATTACCATGGAGTCTTCTGCCATTTCGCTTTTCTTCTCCATGATGCGTCGTCCTGCTCCCGACGCTGCGCCCGTAGCGAAAGAGTACCTGATCAATCTGATCGATTCGCCGGGCCATATCGATTTCAGCAGTGAAGTGTCGACCGCATCCCGTCTTTGTGATGGTGCCGTGGTGCTTGTGGATGCCGTAGAGGGCGTCTGCAGTCAGACCGTCACGGTGCTGCGTCAAACCTGGGTGGAGCAATTGAAGCCCATCCTTGTCATCAACAAAATTGATCGACTGATCACGGAGCTGAAGATGAGTCCCAGCGAGGCTTACTCCCATATGAGCAAGCTGCTGGAGCAGGTCAATGCCGTTATTGGTAGTTTCTACCAGGGTGAACGGATGGAAGAGGATCTTCAATGGCGAGAGCGCATGGAGGAGCGTGCTAATGAATCTGCGGCTCGCTCCAAGAAGCAGGAGCAGGATGACGAGCCTACGGCCGAGTATGAGGAAAAAGACGATGAAGATCTTTACTTTGCGCCAGAGAAGAACAACGTCATCTTCTGTAGTGCTGTCGATGGCTGGGCTTTTACAATCCGTCAATTTGCCGCGATTTACGAAAGAAAGCTCGGAATCAAGCGCACTGTCCTCGAAAAGGTGCTCTGGGGAGATTACTATCTTGATCCCAAAACAAAGCGAGTTCTGGGTTCGAAGCACCTGAAGGGACGTGCATTGAAGCCTATGTTCGTTCAGCTTGTCTTGGACAGTATTTGGGCGGCATACGAGGCTACAACAGGCACAGGCACAGGAAAGGGGTATGTAAACCGGTATATACGTGATGTACATCTGCTAATCTGAACAGCGACCCGGCTTTGTTGGAAAAGATCACCAAGTCCCTGAATGTCAACATTCCGCAATACATCCTGCGCTCACGCGATCCCCGCAATATCATGACCACGCTGTTCTCGATGTGGCTGCCTTTGTCTACTGCCGTGTTGGTGTCTGTCATTGAATATCTTCCTAGTCCGCCAACTGCTCAAGCAGCTCGGTTGCCAGCGATGATTGAAGAATCTCCTGGCTCCCAGTTCGTGGATCCCAAGGTGAAGGATGCTATGGTCAACTTCAAGACCCAAAAAGATGAGCCTGTCATTGCCTACGTCAGTAAAATGATGTCCATCCCGGAGAGCGAGCTGGGATCGAGCAAGAAGCGAGCTGGTGGCACCATGTCGGCCGACGAAGCTCGGGAGATTGCCCGCAAGAAGCGAGAGGAGATCGCCAAAATGCAGGCAGAAGCCAACGGCGACCAGACAGATGAGTATACTCGCATAACATCCGCCTTCGAACGGACGACCATATCAGATGATCAACCGGCCGAGAGCGAGGAGAAGGATGACCCGGAACACCTCATTGGATTCGCCCGTCTATACTCCGGAACTCTCTCAGTGGGAGACTCGGTGTACGTCCTGGCACCCAAGTTCTCGCCGGAGAACCCGCATGCCAGCCCAGTACCTCAGAAGGTAACCGTCACCGATCTCTACCTCCTCATGGGCCGCAGTTTCGAACCTCTTCAGTCGGTACCGGCAGGTGTCGTCTTCGGTATTGGCGGTCTTGCAGGCCACGTTCTCAAGACAGGCACTCTGTCCTCGCAGCTTGAGGGCAGCATCAACTTGGCTGGTGTCTCTCTCAACACGCCACCCATCGTGCGAGTCGCCTTGGAGCCCGTGAACCCAGCAGACCTCAGCAAGATGGTGACTGGTCTGCGCCTTCTCGAGCAAAGTGACCCTTGTGCGCAATACGAGGTTCTCCCCAGCGGCGAGCACGTCATCCTAACCGCCGGTGAACTGCATCTCGAGCGTTGTATCAAGGATCTCCGCGAACGTTTTGCCAAATGTGAAATCTCAACCGGCCAGACCATCGTTCCCTACCGGGAAACCATCATCAGCGCCCCCGAAATGGCATCTCCCAAGAACCCCGAGCTCGGACGAGGCGGCGTCCAAACCACCTCCTCATCCAAGCAACTGACCATGCGCCTGCGCGTGGTGCCGCTCCCTGAAGCCGTCACAGACTTCATCTCCAAGCACGTGGGAACCATCAAGCGTCTGCAAACCGAGAAGCGCACAGCAGCCGAGACCCAGTCCAGCGAGGGAGAACAATCCACCAATGGAACCACCACGGCCGAAAGTTCCCAGCAAATGGAAGCCAGCGACGCCACCGGCGAGGCCCGCGAAGCAACCTCCCTCTCCCTTAAGGACTTCAAGCAAGAACTGGCCAAGCTGTTCGAAGACGAAGCAACCGACGACAAGGGACGCTGGAAGGACGTAGTCGAGCGGATCACAGCCTTTGGACCACGACGCGTTGGACCCAACATCTTGATCGACGCAACAGAGGTCAACACCTGCGAGAAATTGTATGCCCCCCTCCTCCTTACACCCCATATCACAAGATTCCTCACCTATCTAACACATAAACCTATGTATAGCCTACTCGAACCCCACCAACAACAACCCCAAATCAGCACCGACACCAGCACCCGCGAAGCCCTGATGGTCCGCGACCTCAGCGACAAGATCGCGCACGCCTTCCAACTCGCAACCGGCCAAGGTCCTCTCTGCCAAGAACCCATGCAAGGCATCGCCGTCTTCCTCGAATCCGTCTCCATCAACACCACCACCGCCGACGAAGACCTCGACCTAGGCCGTCTAACCGGCGAAGCCATCCGTCTCGTCCGCGACAGCATCACCCAGGGATTCCTCGACTGGAGCCCTCGAATCATGCTAGCCATGTACAGTTGCGAGATTCAAGCCTCGAGTGCGTAACCCTTCCCCTTCACCCCTTTCCCTCCCCAAACACCCAACAAAATACTAAAAATCAAAACAGCGGAAGTCCTCGGCCGCGTCTACGGCGTAATAACCCGGCGCCGCGGACGAATCCTCTCCGAAGTAATGAAAGAAGGCACCCCCTTCTTCACCATCCTATCCCTACTGCCGGTGGCAGAATCATTCGGCTTCGCGGAAGAAATCCGTAAGCGGACGTCCGGGGCAGCGCAGCCTCAATTGATCTTTGCGGGCTTTGAGGCGCTCGATGAAGATCCGTTCTGGGTTCCGGCGACGGAGGAGGAATTGGAGGATTTGGGTGAGTTGGCGGATAGGGAGAATGTGGCGAAGAGGTATATGGATAATGTGCGGCGGAGGAAGGGGTTGGTTGTGCAGGGGAGGAAGTTGATTGATGCGGAGAAGCAGAAGACGTTGAAGAAGTGATCTTTCTTTTCTTGCTTATATAGATGTTGTGTTTGGGGAAGGGGGAGATAGATTATTTGTGTGGGAGAAAAGTTGAAATGGATTATATTAAATCAACTACGATAAAGGTATATATGTATGTGCCCTTGTATGTAATACTTCTCAATCCACGTAAAAATCAGAATAAGGAAGCTCTAAACAAGGGTCGCAAAGTGAGTATAAAAGACCTTGCGCGGTAACCATCCATCTACCTCACATGACAAACACAGCTTAGCATTGGGAAAGCCAAAGCCATGTATACTAAGGAGGAAAACAAGAAAACGAAGACGTCCTAAGGTAGTAGCAAACTGGAAAGCAGAAAGTGTGAAATGTGGTTTCATTTGTATCCCTCACAAGGATCAAAAATAATGTTAGGATGTCCGCGATGCGGGTTGGCAGTCATGTCACACGACTAGCCGATGATGTGAGTACATCAACTGTTTAATTATGTACAGTCATGTCGAGTGTAGTAATCTGCTTGCTCGGCGGCAGTCATATGCACTCGCGCGCTTCCGCGACTGTCTTCAGAGCAAAGCAAGCTGTAAGCAAGCAGGAGCCGGCCTAATCATATGCGAGCGCGAGCGCACCGACCTCAGGTACTGCTGCAAGGGCCTGACTCCTTCGGGATCAGTCACTCAGCCAATCCGGTTACCCCTCTAGGCGCATACCGTGGCAGATAGTAGACTGTAGTGTTAATGATGAGCGCCATAGCCTAGCCAGCTAGCCATCATCAAGGGCCCGGCCAGACCAACGCATCATACATAATTGCTGGTATCATCAATTCCTCTCACCCCAGAAAAAGGTGATAGACCTCTCAAAACGGCCTAGCAACCTTCCTCAACTCCGCGACCCCAGTAACAGGATCTCTCATCTCCTTCCAGCTAACAGGGAACATCATATTACCCGACTCACTGCGGGCCATGACGACACCCAGATCATTGCGTGCCGTAGTAAGATAGTAGAAGCTCTGATCACCGAGGGAGATGACCGTTCCACGAACAATATCCCCAACACGGAACATCTCATCCATGACGACGCGGTCTTTCTCAACGGCGCGAACGTCCTCCTTGCGGATCAGCGCCTGGAAGCGAAGTTCGTCCGAGTTGCTATGGTTCTCTGGATTAGCCGCGGACGAGAGAATAGCTTCGATGTTGTCATTGTCCGATGCAGTCTGTGCGGGGTTGAGAGGTTGGGAACTAGCAGATTCGTCGAGCACAACTAGAATAGACACGGTGGCTTGTCGCTTCTGAACGCGGGTGACGCGCGCCAACACGACCGAGTCGACGGCGGGGAGGGTGTTGTATCTCAGCTTGGGCTTTCCAGTGGTGGCTGGTTTGGCGGACGCCTTGGTGCTAGGTGCAGGTGCAGCTGCCTTCTTGGGGCCTGTGCGGGAGACACTCAGGATGAGCTTTGCTTTGGAGCTGGGTTGCGCTTGATCAACGACCACGGGGCCTGCGATCGAGGCATAGATGGTTGCGTTCTGTACGTGTGTACCAGGACCGGCGGCATATGAGGTAATTGAGCCGAGGCGCTGGCCTGGGATGGCCAAAGTGGGTAGTGCAGTGGCCATTCCAGCGCTGCGTCTTACAGACTGGATATTAAGGGGAAATAAAGGAGGAAGAGAAGGGAGAGGCTCGGAGATAGTCGAGCTGTAGTTGTTGACGCGAGATGCTGGCAAAGCTTTTCTTTTTCGGCGGGACCCGGTCTCGGCCGGAACAACACTCTTTCCGGACAGCTAGCACGGGCCAATCAAGAGGCCTTTGTATACATCTTGTGTTACTGAGACAGGTCATGTAGACAAAGTATCTACAACGATAGCTATTATAATCATGGTATCAATGTATTGCAAGTATAGACTCGAAATCCTCTAACGGTGAATACAGTATTATGCGCAGACACAATTAAAAGTCGGCACAGCGTCAGTTCTCCCTCGGAGAAGTGACTATAGACAACAAACGGACAACGATCTCAAGCACACCGAATGCTCGCTGACACGAATCAAAAGAGACACCGAAGCACATGCCCGCTTAACACCTTGGACAGCTAGACATCAATGGGTCAACACATTGGAACACAAGGCGGCTCAACTTATAGATAAGAACGGCAGTGGGAACACAGATAGAGAAGAAAAGAAGTCGGTCGAAGATAAATAGGGAAGTGAAAGGGGTTGGTCCAAAGCCATACACAGGTCGTTAGATGAGGTGAGGGTCAAGGTCAAGGGAGGAATTGTTTAGGCTTCTACAAGCTTGTGACCGTTCCCAAGGAATTCGAGGCATCGCCGAGCCAGCGCAATGACCTCGCCTTCCCCGTCTTCAGCATCCTCCTCGTCCGATTCGATATTCTTGTCGGAGATGGACTTGACCATCTGAACGATATCGTCGGACTTGGCGATATATCCGATGAGTCTTTGATCCTCGGATTCCAGAAGTTGAAGCAGAGTCCAGATGGCGATATGCTGGAATGTCGGGTCGCCACTGGCGAGGAAGCGGTTGAGGTATCCGTGAATACCTCCGTTCGGATCTGCCCAATCACGCACAAAAATGGAGTAGTCACCCACTGGATTCACACCTGTTAGTATATGGAGGCACTTAACACATTTGCACACGGTGGGGTCATACCTTTAGAGGAAAGATTCCCCAGCGCCGCAGCGCTGTTCCCTTGCACTTCAATACTTTCCGATTCAGTCAAAGGAATCAGAACGTCAAACACCCCCAGGTTAAGGAGATGCGGTTTTAACTCGTCGCTCAGAGCCAGAACCGCGATCGCAGCAGTCATTTCCGACTGAACGCTGAGGGGCACACGGAGGACGAGGTCCTTGCACTTCTGAACAGCGCCGGCCTGCAGGACCAGCTCCTTGTTTCGATCCGAGCTTGCGGCAAGGTTCCGGAGGGTCGAGATAGCGTGGCACTGAATTTCCTCATTATCGGTCGATCCCAGCAGGTCCACCAGGGGCTTGAGGAAGCCCGCATCGATGATAGGCGATTCGTTCAGGGGATGGATGGAGATGTTGCGGATACACGCGACGGCGGAAAGGATGAGAGGAAGGTAGGATGACTGCAGCAGTCGCAATAGGGGCGGAAGACCCTTGGCTCGAACAATTTCGAGCTGGTATTTCTCGTCCGAGGCAAGGTTGCGCAGTGCCAACGCCGCTTGGCATTGGACCTTGGGTGTTGACGAATCCATCAGGTGCACCAGTGATTGAACCAGTCTGGACTCAGTTTGAGCCAGGCGCTTGCGATTCGACGAGTCGACAGCGATGTTACTGAGGGCGGTAGTGCAGTAGTATTGTACATCCACATCGGGAGAGGAGAGCAATTGGACAAGGACGGGGATAGCGCCGGCGTTGACAAGTTGTTGTCGGTTATCATCTATGGATCGCAATGTTAGCAGAGCCACTCCGTCTTGGGATCCTCGCAACCTACCCGAGTGTGTCATATTCAGCAACGCCCCCGTGGCATTTCGTTGTACACGCATGTCCTTCGACTTCGCTAGACGGATCAACGGGCCCAAGGCACCGGATCGAGCGATCTTGGCCTTATTATCCTCATGGGTAGCCAAGTTTGTAATGCAACCGACTGCATTGCATTGCACTTCCACATTTGGTGACATCATCTGCCGTATTAGAGGAGCCAGTCCTCCCAGAGCGACGATCAGCACCTTATTGTCCGCTGCGACCGGTCAGTAATCCTGCTGGCGCGAGGAATGGATGAAAGCGAAACCCACCATTTACAGCCAAGTTGCCTAGAGCTGCACTGGCAGCACGTTGAACTTCAATGTCCGAACTCTGCAACAAGAAGAGGATGGGCTCCAACGTGTCTCGATCGACCTCGCGCACATCTGCAAATACCCCGGATGTTAGCCACCATCGGAACAACAAGGTCTGTGCGTATCAGCCGTACCTCTCTCCGTGATTTCAGCGAATGTCAGACTGGCGCTCCGTTGGAGATCGACGTTATCGGAATAGACGAGGGTACTCAAAGCCCGAAGGGGTTCACCGGCGAAGAAGTCGGTCTCGGTCCTCTATCAAGGAATCCTTGTAAGTAAAAGCGAACGCCGGGTGGAGTAGAAGCAGCACTGAATGGTGCGACAGCAATGAACATACGTTTTCAAGGTAACCCAGAAGATCGGAAACTGCTTCGCGCTCGTTGTCTGCCAAAGTGGTTTCATAAATGCCATCCCTTGAGCGGCCTCCGATCGGGCCGAGACAAGCTGAGATATGGCACCATCGGTCAACTGTCGAGAAGCAGGACAGACAGGCGTTCGTGATTCCGCTCATGCCTTCAGAATGGGGAGCCCGCAGGACCAACAGACGGCCCCGCCAGCGTTTGAACAGGAAAGCAAAGAGTAGGCGGAAGATACGCCGAATGGATTGGGAGAGGAGAGGATCAGGTCGGGCTCCTTAATGCCAGCAAGCTAGTCGCCTTCCCTTATTCCATCCAACAAAGACTTGCAGCGGAGGCGGAACAGACGTGGGAACGGGAGGCGGTCGGAGGAAGAGCAGGCAGAGTTCGAGGGAAGGACCGAATGGCGATTGAGAGAAACGCAAGAAGGGGACGGGAAGAGAGGCTCTGGCAGAGGGAGCTACGGGAACACAAGGCCCGGCGCGTGATGGTTTCCTGAGAGGGGAGAGGGAAGTAGGGAAGGATGGATGGATAGATAGTACGAGGAGTGGTTTGCTGTAGCCGTAGTGTAGTAAGTAGTCGACTGTCGTAAGTAGGAGGAAGGGGAGATGAGACGGAATGAGGTTGGTTGGTTGGTTAGGTTAGGTTAGGTTAGGTTAGGTCAGGTTGGGTAAGTACTAGTAGCTTCCGTTTGCTTTCAAGGGACCCTTAGCACGTTGCTTTCCTCTTTGGAAAACATACAATGGAAAGAGTCAATGGAGGGGAGAGCAAGATGACAAGGGGAGGGGGGAAATGGCGGAGAATGGAAGACCCAGGGGGATAGAGGTTCATCACCAGAGTGGATTCTGGGATGGGTGGATGGAGAGAGAGAGTAGTGAGAGAGAGTGAGCAGAGATGAAAGAAAGCAAGCCAGTCTGGTTGTGAGTTAGTTTCCCGCAGTGGTAATGGTTACTACTGTTACTGTAGTTTAGTGGTAAAGTAAGAACCCGCGCCAGCACCACTTTAGAGTCGGGCAAATGATAACGCGCAGAAAAAAAGCAGGCAGGGGAAGCTCCAATTTCACCAACCACCTCACTATTCTGTTCATTTTAATTTTAGGTGATGATATTACTCAATCTTGAACTACCATTGCTCAACTAAATTCATGACTCTATCGTCTAAACTACTACTATCTATGTCCAATTTAGTACAGTACGTAGTAGATCTGTCACCGCCGTTATCAAACCAGAAGGTCCCATCCCCCGACCGGGGACATTCCCCCCGGTTGTTTATCTTTTGCTCGTCATTGCTTTGCTTTTCGCTTGCTCGTTTTCTGTCGGGCGGCCCCACTGGGCAACAGCTCTTGGATGGAACCACTCGTCACTAGTCCTTTTAGTATCCATGCCCGTCATTAGTTCATGATTTAGAAAGGAAGAGAGAGAGAGAGAGAGAGAGAGAGAGAGCTCTCTCTTGCTCGGCCTCACCTTCTTTTGCTCTCCCTCCCTCCCTCCCTCCATCCACCTCCACCCCCAATTCCCAGCCACATACATTCCCGCCATATCGTCTAGGATTCTGAAACTAGTCCCATGAGTGTTCCCACCTTTTTATGCAGACATTGAAGCATGTCATCAACTGATCTCAACAATCAAACTAATTAGCAACCGTTCTATACCAATTTCATTTTTCGCATGCTCATCAAACATCATGATGGGGTCAAGAAATAAATGCCTCTGGTTCCACTTCGGCAAGCTAACACATCGCCCCAGAGCACAGCTCCTACACCGTAGATTCACTTGCTGCGGATTTGAACCTACACAACTTCTTAGCAAGACCCAGGTCGTAGCAGCTAACTACTAGTAGTAGTATGGCCCGGTCTACACAGATTTAAGCTTCAGCAGCAACAAAGGAAAAAGAATGTTAAAGGGAGTTACCTACCCGTCTGCATGAATGAACAACTACTACCAGCTTGCAGGACTAGGATCATTTATCGCTGTAGTTCTTAGAAGCCGTTAAGTTGCTATGACTGCCTATTTCCAAGCATTTTGTATAGTAGCAAGCAGTAGTATCAACTCAGAAAAGCATCCTGAGTGGACAGTGAGGCGACAATGCTGATCACCGGACAGCATTCGGGGAAGATGATCAACATCCATGCTTGGACCAACAACTATCTACTAACTATTTCGGATCAATCACCTGTCAAACATCCATCATCATCCTCCTCCTCCACCATCATCACCACCATCATCATCATAGCACCCCCAAAACTAGTGGCATGCCAATGGGTTAGTCCTTCAAAAGTACAGGCACAACATGGCTGAATCATATTTAAATTCCAGTCATCTGGGATCTGTCACGGGTACAGCCGTGTTGCCCGTGGCGGAACTATCTGGTTATCTGGTTAGTAAGTAGAAGTAGTTGTATCTGCTGACAGGGATGGATTAGTTAATGAAACTTGCTTGGATGATGGGATTGCATTGAATTCCACGCTGAGACTTGTTGCGACGCATTTACCCCTGCATCTACCTGTGCGTGCTTTTGAAACCATATCCAACACCCACCGGTTTATCTACTGTGCATCTACATACTCAATATATTTCTCAGAGTACTACATGCAACGCCAGGGAGATACATCAGAAAAAGAGGGAGAGAGAGTTGTGTGAGTGGGTGTATGTAACTATGAGTGTTGCCACCACAAAGACCACGTGAGAGGAGATGAGCAAAAACAGTCTTCTTAATATTCACACCATCAGAAAATGGCTTGCATCACATGAAGGCCCGGGCCCATGATCCCGATGCCAATCACTGGCCGGCTGAACCATCCATTCGACAAACCTCAGAGGCTTACAGTAAGCAGTTTTCCCGGTGTGCAAATGATGTCTTCTCCTTTCTCCCCTGCCCCGCAAAGCTAAAATGTCCATGGGCAGCGCAAAAGTGCGGAGGAGCCCACGAGATCCCCGTCCCAGCATGGCCTGGTATCGAATCATCCCTTCCCTTCACTGGTCCCCATGTGGATTTGCTTAGGACAGATCGACCCCCTTCCGTGCGTCAGTTGTGACGCAGTCGTACAGATTCAGATGTATACCAAAAAAAGGGATACTTCGAGACTACTATCTACACCGTGCTAAATCGATTATCCCGGTCACTATGCAGGATGCAGGCGATGGAATGCTGGGGCAAAGGGGAGAGGCCAAACCACTGGTTACGGAGTACGGAGACTAGATTGCCACTGTCAGTCAGACAGAGGCTCCTGGAATAAACCTGCAGAAAGGATGTTCCATGTTCCGGACGTTTTATTTGATCTCAGACCGGGAAAAACGGCTGAGGGCATCGGCATTGCTTTTTTCGCCCTGCAACCCGAGCGACCAATTTGATACTTGCTCCACTCCCCGGAGTTACTTAAAAGATGCCTGCAGTCAATCCATCGACCTGCAGTCAGACAACAACTCCGATCGGGGAGATTTATGTTCCTTGAGGACCGAGGACCTGTAGTAGTAGACGATGTACTTCGTGACGAACCGACTGGTAGTTTGACGCTAAATGGAAGCCCAGTGGAATCTTCTCAGACGGGCAACCATGGTAGCCCGTGTTTCGGGGGGCGCAGGCTCACTCGTCCAACTAATAACAGGACCCTCACTGTAATTCGCCGCTCCGCCCTGGATGGATGGAGTTTCTGGATAGAGCAGACATGGTGCGATGCGCCTCCTCTCCCTCCTCTCTCTCTCTCTCTCTCTCGAAGTATCAGGCTGGTCCCTCTTCGAATGGGGAACCGGTCGTCTCTAGTCGTAGAATTAGTACGTACTACTTCCACTACTACTAGATACTTACTGCAGACCTGCGCATTCCGTTTGCCCCACAGAGGAGAAGATCTTACCATTTGACTCGCATGGTTGCCATTCTGTTCCGGCATTCCAACCCAAGGGAGACGAAGAAGTAAGAGAAATAGCAACACTTTCCCACCAGCCTCGACTTGGATATTTCCTCCTCCCCTCTTTTCTTGTTCAGTGCGCAATTTATCTTTACTAGTTCCTCCCTTTCTTTCCCCTTCCTTTCCTCCCCTTAGAACCTGTCAAGGATAACTTCTTTTTATTGTCCTCCTCCCCTACATCACTGGCCCTGATCGTCTGCCCTGATTCCCAAAGAGACCCAGATTTGCCTCCGGCTCCACCTTCGAACCATTGCAATGCGCCGAAGCAGCGGACAACTCTAAACCTCACTCCTCTGTCCCCGACTGAACCTGAACGGAAGAATTTGAGGACTGTCAAAAAATTTAGATCCCAATTTAGGGCTGTCGCGTCGATCGCACGAGGTGACAGACAACCAGAAAGTGGACAGGAACAGCAGATTCGAGAAGCGATCGTCTCGTGGACCTCTGTTTCCCCCGATCAGCTAACTAACTTAACAACCGACCGAGTTGTCACTCTCGACGAAGGTTGATAAGAGAGTGAGAGAGGAGAGTGACAGAAGGAAGAAACAAAAGAAAAAGGATCAGAAGACTTGATAAATCCGATCCCTTTCCCACTGAATTTCCAAGAATTAAATCAGGAGAAGCAAAACCCGATTGATTTGACTCTGCCTTGATTTGGTTTGATTCACTTTTTTTTATTTTCCTTTCCTTTCTTTCTTTCTTTTCTTTTTCCCTTTCCTTACCCTTTCCAATCCCAACCCCATGTCTGTGTCTGCATCCGTTTCCGCCTCCGCCTCCTCCAACCTCCCATCCGATTCTCGCTCTTCAGGACCCCTCCGTCGTCTGAGCCAACTGCGTGCCTATACGCAGCAGCATTTCTCCTCCTCCTCCGCTTCCTCTTCCTCTTCCTCGCACCCTCCTGCCTCGTCATCATCGACCAACGGTCCCCGCATCTCGCGTCGTCATACCCTCAGCAGTCGAGTTTCCTGGTTTTCTCCCGCCTCCACTGGGACCGAGTCTTCGCAACTCTCGCCTGTGGGGTCTCGCTCGTCGGGCCCATGTCCCGAAAGTGAGCAGCCATCCACTCTTGCCCGCTATAGTGCGGTTTTTTTCCCCAGCTACCGCGGCCTCGAGCTCGACTTGCGTTCCTCCCGCCATTCCGACCTGTCCAGCTCTTCTCCTTCCAACAACCAATCCGGTGGCCGTCAGACAACAGCTCAAGGCACGACCATGGCGCGGCCCAGAGGTGCCTCTCAGGCGCTGGATGCGAGACCTGATCTCGATGGCACCAGTCCATCGGCCTCGTCCAACCTCCACGCGGGAGCCCTCGACTCGTCCGACCCGGTGATGTCGGAGAACCCGTCCACTGCGTCCCCGCGACCGAAGCAGAAAGCGACCATTCGCTTCTTCCCCCATCAAGACACCCATCAAAGCTCCCGACCCTCCTTGCCCTTCATCCCTGTCTCGCGAACGCTCCCGTCTGAAAGTTGCGTCATTCGAGTTGGTCGGTACTCAGAACGCGATGGCCTGCCCGTGGCCAACC